CGGGGAAGTCCTGCCTCCAGGAAAGGCTGTTTCCACACTTGCTGCCTGGATTGGGAAAGGGGAGGGTCCTGGGCAGGAAGTCATGAGGGCACTGGATGATCCTTCCCGGGGCCTAGGCCTTGGGGGGCATGGGTGTAAACGGAGCCAGTGTGTCTGTGCATGTGTGCAGAGGAGGTGGGAACGGGACCCTGCCTCCTGGCTCAGCCCGCCTTCCTCTGCTGGCTCTCTCCCCACCCGCCCTAACACACCACTTCACCCAGAGCCACACATCAAAGCTCTCCCTTTGTGCCCCCTCAGGACCTTGCTTGGCCGCCTTGCCTGACCCCTGGTCTCCCCACCTCAAAAGAGGGTCAGGTGAAGACAGAGGATGGGCTAGGTAAGGAAGAGGAGGGGTCCTGTGAGGATGGAGGAGGGACCACCTGAACATGGGAGTGTGGCCATGGGTGTGATTGTATGATCATGGGTTGCAGTTGTGGATGAGAAAAGGCCACATGCTAACCTGACTAGCTCAGGAAGGCTGGTATGGCAGTTCTGTAAAGTCTAAGATCTAAAGTAACCACAAATGATGGTCTGAAATTAAATGTGTTAAAGTAAAAAGCAGCCTTAGCCAGTTTGACTCGGTGGATAAAGCGTCAGTCTGAGGACTGAAGGGTCCGGGTTAGATTCTGGTCAAAGGCACATGCCTGGGTTGTGGGCCTGATTCCCAGTGGGGGGCATGCAGGAGGCAGCCAATCCTTGATTCTCTCTCCTCATTGATGTTTCTCTCACTCTTCCTTACTCTCTGAAATCAATAAAAAATATATTTATATAAAACAAAAAGATAGCCTATGGTGGGTAGTTCTTATGTGAACCTGTTGTCTTTTTGCATCTAAGAGAACATACCTCTGAAATATCAGGTAAATTCCCCATTTACTGGAACCGATAGGGCACAACCAATACGCCAGGGCCCAGGGCCAAGACCTTAAATCCCCTCATTGTTATTATCATGTTAATTGTTGGCCATTAACTATCCTGTACCCACCTAAGTAAAAGCAGTATGTGTCTATCATTTTATTTTTTATCCAATCCCAGAAGTGTCTCCTCTTTGCTTTCTTCTGCCTCCCTCATCTATCAGCAATGGATTTCATGTGACCCACTTACACCTCTGCCTTTGATGGTAATTTATAAAACAAAATGCTACCATTCTCTGGACATTATCCCAGTACTAGAGGCCTGATGCAGAAAATCCGTGCCTTCACATCCCCGACTGCCTTGTGGCTTCACCCCTCACCCACACCCACCTTGGCTTGGTGCTGCCCACGTCCACTGCCACCACCCCACCCCCTCCCTCTGTTCCCTGGTTCCACAGACCCCCCCCCATTTGATCCCCCCCTGGCTAGTGGCCTGGGCCTCCCTTTGTGGGGCGATCATGGACCCCCTAATTGATCACCCCCTTGGCTGCTAACCTAGGCCTCTCTGCAGGGCAATCTCGAGCCCCCCTGATTGATCACCCCACTGGCTGGTGGCCTGGCCTCTCTCTGCAGGGGGATGGTGGGGAGATGGTGGGGGGATGGTGGGAGGATGGTGGGCCAATTGCATCACACTGGCCTTGGCTGGCCTGGTGCCAGTGCATGTCGTAGTGTGCTCGTCTGAATAGTCGTTCGTGTTTGGCCATTGGTAAATTTGCATATTTACCTTTTATTATTACAGATATTGAGATCCTGCTTTCCAGCAATTGTTGAGAATTTGGCTCAAATAAACTCACAAAAATTAGTTTCAGGTTTGAATGTTTTTTACATTAACATGGTCATGTGAATGGGGGGCATGGCCATCTGAATAAGGGGAGTGGTCATGTGAACAGGGATGGGGTCTCATGATCAACCAGAAGTGGGCATGTGAATGAGGGGGCAGGACCACGTGAAGATTGAAAGGAGGCTACCAGGAGCCCCAGAAGCTAAAAAGGCAGGAAGGACCCTCCCCTGGAGCCCTATGAGGGAGCACATCCCCGACACCCTGATTTCAGACTCTGGCCCAGAACGGAAGAAGATGTGTTCTTCCTACGGCTCTGTCTGTAAAACCTCAACACAGGCCCCCACGTCCATGCAGCACGGTAAGTGCCGCCTGATAATCATAACAATGGTGACGCTAACAAGACACCAGCCCACACAGGGCAGGCAGGCGGGTAATGTCACAGCTGGTCCCTGGGACTGAGCTAAAGGCCATTCATGTCTTTTAAGCTGGTCACACTCAGAGACAACAGGGGCTGGGGGCCATGAAGGTACCCAGGATGGCAGGATGAGGGGACCAAGAGAGTGTGTCCCAGATGCAGACGTGCTTGTCACATACTGAGCATCACTTACCAAGGTTTTACTTTATAATGCAGGTTACACACACCAAATGCCAATATCATCCCACCTCATTACAAACCCATCCACCAGGGCCCTGCGGAGGCAGGAGCAGCAGCCTGACTTTAGCTTGCACACACATGCACACATCAGACACATTCACACAGACACACATGCACACACAGAGATGCTCACAGACACATGCACAGAGATGCGTGCACACACATGCACATAGAGACACCCTGTCATGCACACAGAGATGTACACATAGAGGTGCATGGGAAAACACGCGCACACACAGAAATGCTCACAGACACACAAAGGCACTCACTGCCCTCCCCCTGATGGCAAACCAAGGGGAAACAGTTGCCTGGCTAAAAATTGTCCTGTCCCCCAAGAAGGGGCTTCCTGCAAATCAGAGAGCTTCACAGCAAAGACCCTCCAGAGAGCTGCCTGCCCGGGGCAGGGGGCCAGGCAGGGTCAGGCCTTGCCAGCAGACATGCCCCAGAGGGCCCAATGTCCCTCCCAGGGCCCAGCCAGACACATCAGCGAGGCCTGAAGCTGGGCTACCCGGAGAGGAAGGCCACACAGCCATGCTCTCCAGAGGCCATGCCCCTGGAAATCCCCTAAGACCACGTCCGGGCCACACCTCTCTGGAACAACTCCCCAGACCCTGCCCGCTAAGTCAAGCCTTTTGCAAGGCCATGACCCTCTAGAAACATGCCCCCTGGGGTCTGGGTCCTCCATAAGCTATGCCCCGATAGACAGGACACTCATTAGGACAGGACAGGAAGCCACTCTCCTCCAGGACACATTGCCACTGCTGCCCCACCCTAGCCCACTGTGGCTGCCCTCCAGCCCTGGCCCCTGGGACACCGGAGGTTAAGAGTTTGGTCTCAGATCTGGTTTAGACTCCAGCTCTGCCCATCACTAGCTATATGCCTGGGGCCATTGACTTGTCCCTCCTTAGTCACCCCTTGGTAAGCACCTTCCCACAGAGCTGTAAGGATGGAAAAGCAACCACAACCTCGACAGGAGTTGGGCCAGCAGCTCAGGATTCAGCTGGCTCAGGGCAGAGGCAAAGGCTGGGACTGCCCCCCCCCCACCTCTTGATTTCCAGGGGGCCCAGGGGTGGGCCTTCCCAGAGAGATTGCTCTGTCCGGTGGAAGGGGACTGTTTCTGGCCAGGCAGCTTGGCACCCCGCCCACAGGCCCCTCCTTGTGGGGAGCTCAGTGTCCCCATTAGCCCACCAGAGGGTCCGGATCAATAAATGGGTCCTGATGGGCACATTTTTTCTTCTGCCGAGCAGTTTAATGGCAATTAATTTTTTTATGAGCAGGTTTTTAATCTGCAGAAATGGATGAAGTCCCCAGTGCCCTGTCAGAGCCCTGGGGCCGACCTCATCTATGATAAAAATGCAAAGTGAGGTGATATCATCTGAAATTAATATCGGGCCTCATTCTTCCTCAGCGGATGGATGAATATTTTATAACTATTGTGATTTAATTTTTTGTTAACGACAGCAAATTTCTAATTCATCCGATTCCCAAGTCCTGTGACTCTGACCTCTGACCCCACACCCATCCCTCCATAGCCCAGCTGTGCCTTCCCCGCTGACAGGAACTGATGGTCAGTGCATCCGGGAGACACGCGTGACGATGATGGATGCGGCCCGAGGTGTGCCCTCTGACCCCGTGTCGGGCAGAAAGCTGGTCATTTTTCAAGTGAGCCATGAAAACAAAACAAACCGAAGAGCCGAGAGCGGGCGAGGACGATGCAGAGAATATTTATGTTTTGTGCATTTTCGGTGTGGCTTCTGGAACGTTCTCCAGGTCTCCCAGCACCCCTCACTCTCAGCAGGAGTGGGGTACTTCCTCTACCCTCAGCATTGGGACCCAGCCTCAGTGTCCCCACCTCACTCAGGACCACCCCCACCCAGGGCTGTCAGCTCATGCCATGGGGGAAACTGAAACACGGGGACGTGCAGGGGCAGCTCAAGAGCTGTGTGTCTTAGACCCAGAGTCCTGTGAGCTGGCCTCACCCGGCCCCACCTGGTCCAGGAGTTGCCGGGAGGGGGGGAGGCGGTGCTCCCACCGCCAAGACCACAGAGCAGAGCTCTCAGCCATGGCCCAAATGTGTCCCCAACATCCCCCCCCCCGTGATAGCTCTATGTCCCCCAAAGGGAGGCAAGACAGTGGACGCTGCCAGACCATTCCCCACACCATGCCCAGGTGAGCTCACTCCCTGGAATTCCAGATCCCACATATCCCTGTCTTCCTGGTGCCCCAGGAGGTGGGACCTATAAGTCCTCACATGGCCCCGTGCAACTGAGAAGCAGACACGCCATCAGCCACACATATCCTAGGCCTGCCATGCACATGATGTCCATGCGTGCCGGTGTGCTTGAGGAACAGACTGGGAATGCGTGTTGAAGTGTGGCCGAGGGCCTTTGGAACCGTACATGGGGGTTTGCGGACGTTCACACACATGTCACAAGGATGGCCCTGCACTGGTGGGCCCCACTGCTGCTGGGGGAGGGGAGGGTCAGCCCTGCAGGTGCCTGAGGTGCAGACACCAGCGCTGCCTCCCCCGTACTCAGCAGACCTCCCATCAAGCCTGGCCCCAACCGTCCCCACATGCCCCAGAACCCCTGCACAGCCCCCCTCACGGCCCCACCAGCCTCACCATGGTTTTTGGCAGCTCTTCTGGGGGATGACCGGGGGGCCTTCTCTTTTTTGCAAGAACTACTCTTCATGCTTCTGTGTTTCTCCCGTGGAGCTTCAGCGTGAGGAGAGGGGGGAGGGGAGAGAAGGAGAGCAGTGACACACTGTGTCAGGAGAGCAGTGACACACACACAGGGGCTCTGAGCAGGTTCCAGGGGGCAGCATGGGGGTCCCCCTGCTCCCTGGTCCTTCATGCTAGTACGGGCAGCTGGGCACAGGGCTCCACGGGCACATGTGGCTGTCCACCCCCGCTCTGGGTTCCGCATGGAGCACCCCTGGGGAGCACTCCTGCAGGCGGCTCCCCACTCCTCCTTGACTATACAGAATCCCATTTCGGTCTCCTGCACCCAACTTAGAGCTGGCCATGGCACTCATGTGTGTTGAGTGAATAAATAACTGACTAGCCCACGGGGGAACCCAGGGCATGGCAGCTGGCCACACTGGGAGACCAGGAGTGAGAGCTGGAGTCAGAGGGACCTGCCCACGGCCCAGCCCACCCCTGGCTGGAGACCTCAAGGGCCAGAGACTGAGTCCCATAGGGGCAGACTGGAGGGGAAGCCAACAAGCCAGTGCACTCAAGGGACCAGGCCAAGTCCACCTGTCTACATGGCCAGGCCCTCGGGAAAGATTGGCCTCTGGTGTGGGCAGTCCAGCCTTGGTCCTCAGAGCCCCATGCTGCTGCCAGGAGGGACCTCAGGACCCAGGCCCTGCCCACACCCTGCTTCTGGAGGCTCTTAAACAGCAGCTATGTCACTGCCAAAGCTGTCCACCAGTGGGCGCTGAGGCCCCCAAGTCTTGAATCTCACAAGCAGGAGGAGGACGGCCATGCCGTTCGGTGAGGAGGGGCTGGTGCCCTTGGCTAGGCTGGAGCTGGGTCAGGGACAGGTTCTTCCCCTCGGCGCATGGTGGCTGGGCCCGCACTTGGCTTTCCTTCTGACTGGGGTGAGACATCCCCAAAAATATGCCTGTGGCTGCCACCCATGGGGGTCTGGATGCAAGTGCTGACCAACCTTTGCATCCCCCCTCCCCTGCCCAGCCACCAGGGCACACTGGGACAGGCTATAACTGCCCCCTGGGCTCCTGACTCTCCTCCTCCTGCCCACAGCCCCCAAACCCTCAGTGTTCCCTTGGGCCAGGACAGCCTGACCTCTGCTCCCAGCCCTTCTCCCTCTTCCCACCTTGGTCACCAACTTCTTGCAGCCTCTCTGGACTGTGCAGACAGCCCCATCCCACCTCACCCCTGCCTCCGTGGAGCTTTCCAAAGCCCACGCCGCCCTGGCTCCTGCCCTCAGCCCCCAGGAGCGGCTCCTGTCCGCCTTCCATCCTTACTCCTTGATCTGTTGAGTGAATGAGTGAGCCAAACCCTCATGGTTCCCTTGTCCCTGGGCCTCTGCCACCCTGCTGACCCACTGCCAATGCCTGGGCAACTGCCCAGCAAGGCGAGGCCGTGGCCTGGCCGGGCCACCTGTAGGCCAGGCAGGCAATGCCTCTTGCCTGTGGCATGAGCAGTGAGCCCATGAGCCGACAGGGCCCGGAGGACTCTGTGCAGCGTGCGCATGTGGGTGTGCAGGAGTCTCGGCAAGGGGACACGCCCGGCAGCTCCCTGCCCTGAGCCCGGCCTGCCCTGGGCCGAGGTGCCAGGATGGTTGGCCGCAGAGCCACTCACCAGAGGCCCGGCGCTGGGAGCCCCTGGAGGACACATGCTCCTGGCCAGGGATGGCCTTGTCTTGGATGGCACGCCCAGCTGCACTCGGGTTGTCGAAGCCTGGAGCAGAGGGTGAAGGAGAGGGGGCCATGAGGAGGGGGAGCCACGGGACTTCAAGGGAGAGGTCCCCACTTGGCAGCCGCTCGACAGCCTCTCAGCACAGCACCCTGGGATCAGACCCCAGGCCCAGGTGCATCCACTGGCCAACCTTGCTCGTCGTGCTGAGCTTGAGGCCATGTGACTTTCCAGCCAGAGCAGCACCACGGGGTGGCCTGGGGCGACAGGGCTCTGTGTGCCTCATCTGGGGCCTCGTGCGGCTGGCACCATGCAGCATGGGGAAGGACTGTCCCAGTGTGCAGGCTAAGGCCAGCATTTGCAAAGTGAAGAGTGACTTGGAGGGATGCGCCCCAGAGCATGAACCAGGGCCAGTGCAGGTAGGGAGACGGGGTGTCAGTCATTCTCGTCTCACTGTGCTTTGCAGCTGCGTTCAGGCTGCCCCTCCTTTAAGAAAAAGTCATGAGAGGACAAATCCGGGGGGTCCCCCATGTGAGTGACAAGGAGGAGTAGACCACAGGAACAGGAAGTGGACAGTGGGACCAGGGCTGGGGTGGGTGGGATTGGGTGTTTCATGGGCAGAGTGTCTGGGGGATGGAAAGTCCTGGAGAGAACCGTACACACAACCGTGGGGACGTCCGTGAAGCCCCTGAGCCGTGCCCTTAGACGTGGGGGATGGCCAGCGCTGTGTGCGTTTCAGACTTTTTTAAACAAAATGTCGTCTTAGAAGAAAGCACCCCCGCCTCCTGGAAAGAGCCAGGCCCCGACTCTATGGGCAGAGCCGCAGGCTGTGTGGGGCTGTCTGTCCAACAGGGAAGCATTGGGTGTTTCTCTAGATCCCCAGCCTCGCCCTTGTGCCCCCCCCCCATGTCGCTGGGTGGGGGCACACCATGCCTCCGGGCAACTTCAAGCCCCCTGCAAGCTTCTCAAGGGGTTCCTGACTTGAGTCCCCCAGACCTGACCCTGACTCTGCCTCCTGCACCCTGGCCCCCTGAGCCCCTTCCGCAAGGCAAGGCTGCAGCCAGGGCCAGGCCCTCCCACTCCGAGTCCTTCCTCCCACCAGCAGGGCACTCTGGCCCAAGTCTCTGCAGCAGCCTGGCCCTCCCTGTGCCGAAGCCCCACTCGAGGCTCCTCTGAGAGGCTGACCTCCCACTCGGCTCCCAGGCTGTTACCCAGTGGGCACACCCAGGGTCCCGGCGCGGCCCGCCCACCCTCCCCGGGAAGCTGGTCCTGACCTGGGCAGGCCGGGGCCGCAGGGGCCTTCTTCAGCTTTCTGACCTTCCTCCGGGGGGCCAGCGGGGAGGCTCGGAGGAGGCGAGAGGCGCTGGAGGGCATCGAGGTGCCCAGGGAGGCACAGCTGGCCTGCCAACGCGCCTGCGCCCGGATCTTCTCCCTCAGCCGCTCCAGCCGGGGGTTGCTCTCCCCGTGCTGCCGTGGGGACCCCAGCACCAGAGGGGGCCTCTCCTTCCAGGGCCTGTGGGTGGGTGCACACGGCTTGTGGCCCCCCGAGGAGCCGGACAGGCGGCCCGATGACACCGAGCTGTCCCCATCCTGGGCCTCGTCGCCGGCTGTCCATGTAGGGCGGCTGTAGGCCTGCCCTGGAGCGCCTTGCCTCTTCATGTGGTCAGTCCAGGCCACGTAGGGCGCCTCCCGAGGGATGCCTGGCCGTGGGGAGAGCCTGGGCCAACTCTGAGTGGCCGGGAGGGCCTCCTCGGACGCAGCTGGATGCCGCCCGCCTGCCCTTGGAGGAAGAAGCAGATGCAGCAGCTCAGTGTGGGCCCAGTGGAGCCTCGGACGGTGCACTCCCTCCTGTGCTCCTGCCTCCTGCGACCCTCGGAGCACCCAGATGAGGACGGTGCAGCCCTCTGGGTAGGCCCTGAGATCAGCCCAGCCCACCTACAGGTAGGGAAACTGAGGCCCCGGGAGAAGGCACACAGCAGGGCACTCTGGCCCAAGTCTCCCAAGGAAGGCGTGCCAGGTGCGCAGGCTGCCAGGTGCCTCAGTCACACAAACCCTACCTGGGCCTGGCGCAGACCTTCCAGGCAGCTGGTCTCCCTGGTGCCCTGGGGCAGAAGGGGCAATGCCCCTGGCTATCTCTGGGATGTGCCTGGGCCATCGCCCCCAGGCAGGTTGCCGGGACTGCCGGGCCAGCAGCGAGGGCAAATCCGGGAGCCCTGTCACCACCTGCCCTGGGCGCTTTCAGGTGGCAGCCTCAGGGTCTGCCTCCTGGCACCCATTCCTCCTCCAGGCCAGTTGGCCACAGCCGCTCACTTGCCGTCAGCTCCCCTGCCTGGGATGGAAGCCCTCAGGGTGGTCATGGAACGGGATGGCACGGGGGAGGGGGGGGGCTGCCTGGCCCTGGGCTGCAACGGCCTGGAGCTTCCTGATGCTGCCTCTCGGAGGCGTGGGGGGCGGGGGGAGAATTCCAGGTGGCGGTGACAGCACAATAACCCGAGTCACTCAGCAACCGTGCTGAGGCCTCAGCCCCTGCTGGGCTCCAGGCAGCACCCTGCCCCTGGCCCCCTGTGCGCCTGTGCGCGGTGAGCGAGCTGCCAGGGCCGGGGTCGGGTGCTGCCCAGGTCAGAGTGGGGACGCAGTGAGGCCCTGGGTGAGGGTGGGCTCCCAGAACCAGCGGTGGCAGCAGGGCTGGGCTCCATTCCAGGCTGGGGTTGGGCTAAAGGTTCTGTTTTCAGGGCTCAGCCTGGGAATCCAGGCGCAGGAGAGAGGAGCCAGCCGAAGGTGTGTCCCCAGCAGCTGCACGAGGGGCTGGGGGCTCAGACCCTGACACGAACAAAGACTTCAGCCACTGCCTCTGGCTGCTTGAAAGAGGTGTGTGTGTAAGGGGCGGGGGGGGGGGGGGGCGAGGAGAGGGGGAGAGGGGATGTGTGTGGCCTCTCTGCTCCTGGCCAGCAGGTGCTCATGGAAATAACAGCTCGAGCTGCCCAGCCCGGTGCCCCTTAGGGGCCTCCTGTCCCCTCCGTGATGACCCTGCAGGGTGGTGGGAGGACCTGGGCCTGTGGTCCGCTGGCCCTGAGCTCAGCCGCCCCAGGAGGGCTCCAGCCCATCCCAGGTGCAGTGTGACCTGGTGACTGGAGGCCCCGCCCAGCCGGCCTCGGGATGGTGAGTCCAGGAGCGTGCAGGGGCAGCCCGTGGAGCAGCAGGCAGTGGCCGAGGGCAGATGCTCCTTCGCTTTAGGAGCTGCACTCCTTCCTGGACCCTGCACCTCCGAAGGCCTCGGACCCCTCTTCTCCCTGGACCTTGGGCCCGTGTCCAGCCCACAGCTGCCCCCAAGGTCACCCCTGCACTCGCACCTGCTGCGATGGCCTGGCTGCAGCCTTTGCAGGAATGGCTCTGAGGAGGCTCTGGGCGGAGGCCGCAGCCTGGGGTGCAGAACAGCCCTCACGAAGGCCCGGCCTGCGATTGCCCGTTCGGCCAGCATCTCAACGGAGCCTGAGCCCAGCTGCTGCCGACAGGGGTCCCCCTTCAGACCCCGCAGCTCCCTCCACGCTCGGGGAGGCACATGCAGCTCCCCTCCTGCTCTCACCCTGATGCCACTCTTGCTGAGGAAGAGTATGCCAGTGGGCCTGGCGCCCCTCCCTTCCTCCTCCCTGACAGGTCTGGGGGCTCATGAGTACAACCCTGAGAGAGGGAGGGGTCCAGGCACTGCCTCCAGGCCTGGGTTCTGGAGGGGTCAGAGGGCAGGCCTTTGCTGAGCAGGAGCAGACAACCCCCTGCCTCTCCCAGCTGGTTAGACAGTGCGGGGAGCCCGACTGCCACACACACCAGGCACCAGTAGGTTCTGTGTAAGGTCAGAGACACAGAACACCCATGTGACCCTAAGGCCAGGCACAGACCAGGAAGCCGGCACCTTTGTCCTCACTGGCCCACCCAGCCGAGCCTGCCAGCTCCGGCCACTGCCCGGCTCCTCGAGGCACCTGTGTGGAGCCCAGAAGTGGAGCCTGTCCTGGCAGCAGGTTCTGCCTTGATGCCCCCAGGGCTGCACTTGCCGCATCTGCCCCTTGAGGAGCCCGGGGCCTGGCTGGATGGGGGGCAGAGGTGGGGCCAGGCTTCCTTCTGGGAGTGTCAGCACTGGGCTGAGATCAGCCACACTGTTTACTTGTCACCACCTTGTCCCCAGGAAGCCGCCCGGAGCAGGCCCCTAGGTCGGGACAGCCAGTGGACCGTGAAGGAGAAGGCCTGCAGCTGTCACGCCCACCTCCTCGGGGCCCCAGGCTGGAGGCTACAGAGACCTGGGCAGCAACAACAGACCTGGGCGTTGGCATGGCACCCAACGGCCACGCACCCAGATCAGCTCTGGGGGAGCAGCGTGCGGGGCCTGATTTGGCGGGGGCTAGACATGGCGGGGATTTCCCTCTTCCGCGTCCCGCACGGAAAGAGGGATGAACGAACCGGTTCTAAGTGGAGGCGGCCAGGAATTGAGAAATATTAGAAATAAAGAGAAGACACAGAGATAGATTTTAAGCTGGGAGCTGGGTGGGCCGCCATACTGTCTGCTGAAGAGGCAGGAAGTCAATGACGAAGACCCCTCCCAGCTCATTTGTTTTATATCCCAACACCAGGAACTAACACCAGCTTATTTGAATTCTTAAGTCGGCCTTGCATGCCTGGATTTAAATATCTAGTCCTGCCCCTCCGTCACCTGGGCTGACATGAAGGCCAAGCTGACAACATGTCCGCCATCTTGGGGAAACATGTTCCCAGGGCTCTGCCTACACCCTGAGTTCAGCTGATGATCATTAAGGAAAATGCCCATGTGCCTTCCAAGGCGGCCCTCTACACAGTGGTCCCCAAACCAGCCCTGTGACAGGCCAGGCCCAGAAGCTACCAGGCAGAGGGCCAGAGAGGGTCAGGGGCCTGTGGGTCCACATGGCAGCTCTTGGAGGCTGAGCCAGGCTCAGGTCACATCTGGGGAAGTGACAGGCTGATGACCGAGCACCCAGGCACCTTGGACCTGCTGCTCAATGGTACATGCCACCTCTCTGACACCCAGGAGCTCACACACACACACACACACACACACACACACACACACACACGCACACACACACATGCATGCACCCGCAGACATGCACACACATGCACACCAGGGTCTCTGGATAGGGGCAAGCAGGGCAGGCTGGGGGGCTGCCAGCAGGCATGATGTGGGGTCTGGTCTGGGGGTGTCCCCCAGCCTCAGCGCCTCCACCAGCCCCTCCCCAGGGAGGCTGGCTCCTCCCTGCTGGTCAGGCCCCAGGAGGACTCAGGGCCATACTGAGATGGCAGGTGCCAGGGTGGGATGAGGGGACACACAGCCAGCGATCTGCGAAGCTGTGGAGGTGGGAAAGCATCAGCATCGGTGGGGAAGAGTGAGCACCGGGGACACGTGGGGACCACAGAGCGGGGCTCCACATCAGAGGCAGCGACAATTAGGGCCCGAAAGCCCAGCTGGCTGCACCCCTCGGCTAAGAAGTAAGGACTGAGACGCAGTTGCACAGAGAAGCCTGAGCCCACAGCGTACCAGGAGCAGAGCCACTGTCCACTCAGGACAGACTGGTGGGCATGTCCACAGAGAGGCCAGCAGAAAGCCACATCCCCGGCCTGCTCCCAGCACATTCCCCAGGTGACTCTCCAGCCCAAGAGGAAGGAGCTGCTGCCTTGCTCAGCCACAGGACCCAGTGCAGAGCCCTGCCTGGGCTCTGCCACGGAGCCAGGCATGCCCAGGCAGGGACACAGCCTCAGACCCAGCACCTGGGGAAGGAGCCTATGGACAGACAGCCCTGCCCCAGGGACCAGCTCCACCATGGGCCCAAAACAGTGCCTAGGACCGTTGCTCAGGGGGGCACGCCTGAGGGTTTCCTTCCACCTGCTGCCTCCACCTCTACCTCTCAATTGACAGGAATCTTCTGGAAAGGTGGGATGCCTGGAGGTCCAAGCCCTTTGTTGGGGTCTGTGCTGAGCCCATTGTTGGAAGTGGACCTGCCAGGTGAAACCAGATACTGAGCCCTCAGGTCATTTGGGGCCTGGGACAGTGTATATCCCCATTTTACAGATGGGAAAACTGAGGCAGAGTTTATTACATGACAATGTAGGCCCACCTGCAGTGGGACCTGAGCCCAAAGGCAGGGCAGGGTAGTGAAGAAGGGTGGCAGGCATCCTCCACTTAGGGTCAGACTGGCTTTGCCCCCGAGGAGGCCCCAAGCCCTCAGAGGGATCCTATGGAATTCCCCTCCAGGGACCATGACAGAGCAAGGGCAGCCAGTCTGCACCCAGCCACATACGTGAAGGTGGGAAGACCAAGCCACCTCCTAACTGGCTGCCCCACCCCATCGACTGCCCTGCTGGCGTTGCCTCCCACCCCCTACCACCAGGCACTCACCAGGTGGGAGACTCCAGGACAGCCGTACACAGAGCCCAGAAACCTAGATGCCAACCTTCTGGGCACTCCAGAGGTGAGTCAGAAGCTGGGCAGGAGGGTGGGAGGGAGGCCCGCCCTGACGTTGCCAGAGAAACCTAGGCGTCTCTCCACTGGAGCTCCTCCTCCAGGCCTGAAGCCAGTGCCTGGGCCTCACCTGGGCAGAGGGGGAGGGGCAGCTGGGGCATCCCTCCCCCCTGAGCCCCAG